ACATACATATATATGCATATATATATATATATATATATATATATATATACATATGTATATGCCGTTGATTTCTAAATCTGCAAAAACTATAAGATGAAATTTTGGTGATCCTTCACTACAACTAGGTCCCTGGATGCAAAATAAGCGCACACGTACTTTTTACGCATTGACACACTGAAATAAATTTTGTGGGAAAACGATTTCAGGCACGAGATAAGCCAGAAATCTAAAATTTTAAAAGAGTACAATATAAAGAGTACCAAATACAAAAAAGCACTAAATACAATATCTTTTAGTGTATTACGGTCCCGCTTTTCTTCATCATTGCGCAGCAAAAACATGCAGCTTTTCGAATTCCGATCTGTTCAATTTCATTATTCAATTATTCTTACGGCAGAATGACCCAGATTATCTTGGGCGCCATCCAGTTCTTTCTTCTCGCTCACTTTACTCTTCTTTTGTACATTAATCTTCTGAGAAAGGTACTATTTTGCACTTTTGATGATCTGTAAAACTGTACAATTTATTTCCGTAGTCGGAAGAAATATTGGAAGTGTCTCGAGCGCTAGCAAACCCCGACAATAAGCGTTTGCTGGTGGGGTTTTCGTCAGTTCCTAATCTCAGGGGGTTGACTCTCGTATTTACCACAAATTTTTACAATTTTCAATACCACCTTGCACTTAAATAAAAAGTCTGCAGTGTGTGTGTGTGTGTGTGTGAGTAATGAGTGAATCACTTGTTCAATCTATAAACTGCTTTTGAAAGTAACATCGTTCCTCAAGCCATAAAAAGCTTGAAATCGATTTGCTTAGCAATTGGTTTTTGTCATGTTGCAGACCACAGCAGGAATTATCAAGCTTACAGCTTTTCCGGTTCTGAATTTTAAAATAAGCCCAAACTTGTGGATGAGGCTAAAGACATGAATAACATCATTAAAATGGGATGCCCATGATGCTTCTGCTAACATCTAGGCGGTCTTGGTGTTCTTGAGACGAATAAGACGAATGAAAGAGCTGGCGGTGCATATAAGTGATTTGAGGATAAGAACAAATATCGTGCCGTGACTTTTAGACTATCAGTTAATTTCTGAAAAGAAATCATTTAAAATAGAAAAATGCCAGAAGTGTTAGAAGCGTACTGCTCATCAATTTTTATGCTTTTCTGCATACACGCAAATGCGAAAACGCGCACTGTGGCGACCCCGGTGTGTGCATATATGTTTGTGTTGTGTGTGTTTCCGTGTGCATGTTTTTGTGTATATGCGGGTGTGTGCCTTCGTCTGTACGGGTTGAAATACCCGGCAACCAAGCAAGCTTCAGCGCCAAAATTTTGCCAATGTTTCTCCAGCCAACTACCACCCCAGGCCTGCGGTACCAACCCTCACGCACTCCTGGTCCTCATGGGCGATCATTCAAAAGTTTTGGCGGGAAAACCGCTAGCTCGGTACCCAGAAAAGCTGGTAGGCTGAAATTTTAACAGAATGTCCGTTGTCCAAGTACCACATAGTTGCACCATTAACTTACTAAACTTCGAACACCAGTATGTCACAAATTCTAGCTACTGGAGTTCCAAGCAATTTTACTACGGCACGAAATAGTGCAAAAACGCACAAGCGCACGGACTTGCCTGGTGTGCGTCGCCAGTGATTACTTTCCACGCTTCCTTCGTTTAGAAAATCTCTACTGTATTAACTAATTCGGGCGCAGATTTTGTTGTCGTGTATCGCAATAAAAAAACGTTGAGACGAGTGTCTTGGTGTAATTGATGGACGAACAACAACGAAGAGCGACAAAAAATGTTAGCGGACAGAGCTCCTTATACAACATGTTAGCGTGCACAAAGTAATGCACAGCAATGGCAGCCTTCGGCATGATCAACAAAACACTTTGATTTGCACATTATGGATCATTTCAGCACAAAAAAGTGTTCGTTCACGAGCCCAGTTTTTTGAGCATAGAGTATCAAGTGAAAGAGAATATTCGCACGACAAAGTTAATCTTCACAGCGATTATAGCCAATATAATAACTGTTTTGTATAATTTACCAATATTTTTATACTACTCAATGGATATCCAAGCCGAAGGACCAACTGCTAACAGTACAGTTCAGAAACTAATCAAATATGCTCCCTGGAAGGCATCTATGGTTTGTACCATTAAATTGCTATCAAAATTTCCCGCTATCTTTTGCTTCTTGCCTAGCCTTGCTTATCCCTTTCTCGATTATCCCCGAAAATACTTCTTTTTTATCTTTTCTGGTTATACTTTTATATTTCTTATCACACTATTTCGACTTATGAGATCCACATCTTGCTTCTGGATAAGGAAGGGAATTTACAGTTGTTCATATTTTTGATGCTTTGGTAAGCATCAAAAATATGAACAACTGTAAATTCCAGTTAGAAATAAAGGGGTTCCGCTGAAAGCTTTGTAGGCAAAAAGTGTTGTAGTAAGATTATGGTTGTGGCTTCAGCATCCAAAGCTTTTCTAGTCTGGAGGAACTTTTAGGGTGAAGTCTGACAGTGGTTATTTGTTTCTCTTCTTTCCGTTGACTGTAGTTGAGCATCAGACAGTGTTGGGCTAACTGATGCGCTCAGCTGAAGAAACTCATAAAAAGCAAACGAAAAAGTAAGGATACGGTGTGGAACCGAATTATATTTTTTGCTCGAACATTTTGCATAGTATTTACTGCTTATTTTAGTTAACTAAAACTTGACTAAAAGAAATTGTCATGCACAGTCCATCAAATACACCACCAATTTTACGCATTCTAAAACCGTCTTTTAAAAACAGTGATACGTCAGTGCAAACTGTTTTCCAGGAGTTTCAAATGCCAATTAGGACAATCGTATTTGCGGCACTATTTGCTTCGTTATCGCCAACAATTCGAGCCATGGCTCGCAGAATGTTACGACTTTCGCGTAGTTTTTTGCGAAGGATAAAGAAACACGGCCGTAAGGATGGGCACGATGACGAGCGACGAATGCATTTTCATAATCTTCAAATTTCGTGGAAATCTGGGCCTAACGAACGTCGAAACATGGTTCACCTATAAAATTTTTTTCACGATTTATTATCTAAGCCCTCGATAAATTAAACTGATTCGCTACAATCATAGCTAACTGGAACACTTATTCTGATCTATTCAAATACTAGCGGAAACTTTTGGCATTTTCCAACTTTGTAACACAATTACTTTTTTTTTTTCAAGTCCCGCAGTTAATGCAGCAGCATGCGGAAAAAATTCAAAAACTTTTTGCAAATCTAAGAATAGAATATTTCTAGCCGAATTCTCACCATTTTCACCATATCGTTTACATGCAAATTCATTTGCAGCATACAATGAAGAAAGCGGGGGCCAGTTTGCAAGACGTTCGGTATGTGTTCTACCGGTATTTTCAGATATGTCTTCTGATGAAGAAATAGGGGTTCATTTTTTGCTGGGCCACGACTTCCCCCTTCTTTCCTCCCTCCTCCCCGCCTTCCCCTCTTCCCCCGCGTGTTCCCATTGATTTTACTTTTTTTTTCATTAGGGTCACGCTAGAAAGTAATATATATATATATGTTTTAATTAGTTAATCAACATGCACACCGAACAATTACTTAATTAATATATATACAATAAGCATATAATTACTTAATAATTAGTATATGTATTAAATAATTGATCGGTTTGTATGTTGATTAACTAATTAATTAAAGCATGCTCAAATATGCACTGTGGGGAATTGTAAGCTGAGAAAGTGGCAGTAGTTTCCGAACGATGATGAGTGCAAAAATTTGATCAATATTTTTACTCAACAGTGAGAAAAGCTGAACATTAATTTTGAGAGATCAAATTATCTCATAAGTGGCTAAGTGTTCTGAAGTTCTCTATATCATGAGTGATGGCTCCTGATCCAGTTCTGAATTTTTCATGACTAAAAACTAAGGAAGATGAAAGTCCAAATTTTTGTGTTTTCGCTGCTAGACAAAACTGACGAATCTAATTTGGCATTAAAACTCGCACTTGCGAACTTGTATCTAAGCGGGGAACTGAACAATCTCATATTCAGAACCTTGTTACTTCTCAGATGCTGGATAGATCGAAAAATTATTCTGACTAAAAACACAGCTGTTTTGTAAAGTCTTTCTGCAGCCTATTCTCAAAACAACTTAACGGAAGAATACGTAATTGCAGTAAGTTATCCTGATAGCGCTGTACATTTGCAGCCAATAGGTGCTAGTGCGCATCACAGCTGCGATATGAAGATTTTGATATTTTAAACTTTTTACTTCAATTGGAGACAGAAGCCAAACACCCAACATCCTGACTTTTTCAGGAAATTGGATCGTCCCGCACCAGCACATCAATGCAAAAAAGCGGAACTTGCTCAGATCAATTGATATTCATTGGTCTTTAACGATATTTGTGTCTTCAGATTTACGAGTACCTGCCGTTTTTGTCCCCATGATCTGTCCCGAAATTATAGGTTGCCTAGGAAAAGCATAAATATTATGCCTAAATATAAGGCTGACAAGAAATAAATTTAAAAAGGTTTGTATACCTAAGATCAACCGCCAGTGAAATTTAGCAGCAATTCAAAAAAAAAAAAAAAACAGAGCGCAGGACAAGTGAAGATAACCGTCATTATCCATAGTGGCCGCGCCTTAAACTGAATATGAACACCAGTTTACAAACCGAATGGAGAGCGCATGCAGAAAATTCTACACGAATCAGGTGAATCAGCCACTAATATATAGCTGCATCTTCTATCCACCCCAAAAAGCAACAGCCTTCCCAGACTCTTACCGACAACACCTTCTTGCGCAACAAAATCGGAAAGAGCCTTGGATTTTTTCCAGGAAAAAGCTTCCGGTTGGCAGTGCATTTGATACTAGTGAATCGGCGTAATTCATCATGGACATAGTTAAGAAGTCGAGAAAAAGGAAACTTCAAACCATGTTTTTAGGGTTCTTATTGCATTGTGTTTCACTTATCATTTTTCATTCAAATAAAATTGTATTGCATTTTATTAAAACCGTTACAATTGCACTATCTAATTCTTATTGTTACAGCACACATGCAGCACACAAATTTTTGCATTTTTATGCGTTTTTGCTGTGCTGCGCTATAGCATTGCTATAGCGCTACTACAGCTAGCAAAAACGCATATTGTCGAGAGGCTGTCTGTGTGTGTGTTCGGAAAGCAAGTGCATTCTGTCACCCACTTTAATCTCAGCAACCAGGAAAGCCGGGAGGCTGAAACTTTGGATATATGTTCCTACCCCGTGTGTCATCCTCCCTTTTTAAGATCTTTCCCCATACGCGCCTAGACCCCTCGTACCGGACCCTCAATGAAATATGTTGGCGGGAAACGATTTCGCGAGCCAGGCAACTTTGAAAGCTGAGACTTTGCAGGGATATTCTCTATGCACGTGCGAGATAAAAATTTTAAACTCAGCTCTCTAGCT